CGAGGCACACTTATTTTAAAAAGTGTTTATTGTTTATCTGAAGTTCAAGTTTAACTGGATGTCCTATATTTTTATTTGCCAAGCTTAACACCCTTCCTCCACCTCCAACTATGGTCTCCTTAATGGCAGAACATGTTTCTGGCTGACCTCTGAATTCCCATAACTAGCCCAATGCATTACAGTTAGTGCTCAATTAATGGTAAAAAAAAAAAAATAGTGACTTCTCTGGCTACAGGGTTGAGACTGGAAACAGACCAGACAGGAGGATGAGCAAGAAACCATTCCCCAAATCATAAAGGCTTCAACATAATAGAGGATGGTCTTGTGAGATCTAAAGATCTGAGGGCTAATGGGAAGTGACCGAGCTCAAGGAGTCTAGGATGTTCCCCAAGTGTCTGGCTTGTGTCAGTGGATGGAAGTTGGTGCCATTCACACACAGGGGAGCACTGGAGGAGGTTTGGAAGCTGTAGAGCAGGGAATATCATGGATGTGTAGAAAAGTGTGGAGAGTGAATCTGAAGGAGAGAACAGAAGATTTCGAGGACAAATATGTTAAGTTTGAGTTTTCAGAGGATATTCAGACAGAAGTATTGGAAACATGGACTTGGAGCTCAGGAGAAAGGTCCAGGCTGGAGATACAATGTAACCACCATCGGCATGGAAGTGGTAACTGAAAGCATGGGGGTAGATAATGTTGCTCAGGGAGAGAGTAGAATGGGAAGAGAGGAAGGCCTGTATCAAAGCCTCGAGGAACACTTGAGAGGCAGAGAGAGGAAAAGAAGCCCAAGCGTAGTCTGAGAATGAGCAGCTGGAGGGATGGAAGAAAAAGAGAGTATGGGATCAAGACAGTCGATGGAAGACAGGTTTTCAAGGAGGAATGACAAATTTGAGTACTTCTGAGAGTTCAGAGGACAAGGCTGAGAAGTAGCTATTGGGTTTAGTAATGTTGAGGTCACTGGTGACCCCAGCAAGAGCTCTTTTGGTGAAGGAGGACAGTATATATATATACTTTCACGGTGTCAGTTTTATTTAATGCTGTGTTATATTTGAGCAGGTTTAAATTAAGAGGGAAAGGAGATATTCAATTTTAAAAGGTTGAAGAATGGGGAAGCTTGTAAATAATTGAGACCGAGTGCCCTGATATGGAGTCCTGACTACAGATGGAGGAATTATTTTAGCTACAGAAGGACATTAATGATAGTATCTAGAACAGAGTATGACACCTCAAGGGCCATGGACGCCTAATTTGGGGAATTTTTTTAAAATATATTTTTATTGATTTTTTACAGAGAGGAAGGGAGAGGGATAGAGAGTTAGAAACATCGATGAGAGAGAAACATCGACCAGCTGCCTCCTGCACACCCCCTACTGGGGATGTGCCTGCAACCAAGGTACATGCCGTTGATTGGAATCGAACCTGTGACCCTTCAGTCTGCAGGCCGACACTCTATCCACTAAGCCAAACCGGTTAGGGCGGGAATGTTTTTTTAAAATATATTTTTACTGATTTCAGTGAGGAAGGGAGAGGGAGAGACAGATAGAAACATCAATGATGAGAGGGAATCATTGATCGACTGCAGGTCTCCTCCAAAGGGTATCAAGTCACTACCTCTTGTAAGACAGAAAACGACAGACCTCTTTGACGTGACTGTTTCTCCACTTCAGGGAGCACCCAAAACTGTCCTCTAGATTTATTTCATTCAAGAATCAAGGTTCAGCGTTCCATACCGTTGTTCTGGGAGGGCCACTCAAATGGCCATGTCGTTTTGAATGTAAAACAAAGACTACAGTTGAAAATGGAGACACTAAAGCCACCTGTGGCCCCGGGGATGGAAGTTCTCTGCCTGGTGAGGTCAGGTGCCAGGTGCCCTCTGCTAAGTTGTATGAAAAGAAGTGCAGCTCTTGTTTTCTTTGGGGAAAATGGCTTTATTATTTTGTGTCTTGTTTAAAAGAGGGATTTGAGTTGTGGTGAGCTGCAAACTGAGACTAGCTCTGTGGGAATGTTCCTCTTGGAGACGTTGCCATTTCATCTGGGACTTTGTGAGATGTTGGGTACAATCTCCCTGGTGTCCACAATGCAGCCTTGAGTTGGGGGACCCTACTCCCTCAAGAACTAGCAATTTGGGGATGTTGAGAGCTAGCACCTTTGGCTTCAGTTCAGACCTGCCTCTTGCTGTGAGCATTGTCAGAGATGGCTTTAGTCTGTCTCCTTAAGTGGCACTGAGGGGCGGGGGTTGGGGGATATGGGAACTAGGCCAAGCGTTCAAGTCTTTCCAGCAGGGCTCCCTGGCCCCACTGACCCTGGAATTAACAGGATGTCCCCCTTTACCCTCAACCAGGGCCAAGGAGGTGTGTGTAAACTGTATGGCACTAGTGCCATTTTTTTTTGCGGGGGGTTGGGAGTTGCAAGAGTGTTTGGAGACTGAGGATCCTGAATCAGTTTGGAGGTAGAGGGGCCAAGCAGGTGTTTGAGGGTAGCAAGAGAGCACCAACGTTTGGGGAGCACCTAGAACTGGGGCAGTGAACACAGAAGAGTGGAAGCACAGCTTTCTCCTCCTTGACCCAGAATGAGCACAGCCCTCAGAGGGCTCTTGCCAGCACCTCACTCTGGCCAAAGGGGCCCCTGTGCCGAAGCAGGCAGGCACGTGGGCAGTCTGGAAGCAATGTTGGTCAGCAGTGTCCAATGCCGGAGGGATCCCACCCGGACCCGCCTCACTCTCATGATGCTCTCGTGCACCCTGGCTGCAGCTACTGCCTCTGTGCTCACAGCTGCTCAAACGGCCTCCAGCCCAAATCTCCCTCCTCAGTCCCAGACCAGCATAGCCCACTGCCTTCTGACCGCCCCTCTGGGTGTCCCATGGTTCCTCAGACTCAGCATCCTTTCCAAATACACACAACCATCGTATCCCCAAAGGAGAAAACCATCCAGGACAAACGAATAGGACCCAGGAAACAAGGTTTTGTGGGACATGCAGAGACGTTTAGAGGGACTGCACTGCCTTTTTGAAGGTGACTCAGGGACAGCGTGAAAGGCCAGGGTCAGCATTAACCTCTTCCCCCTTCCCGATGAAGGTGTGTGACTCTTAGCTTCTTGTCCCTTCTCATACTCTTTGCCAAACTGCATTTAAATACTTATTTAATGTCAGTCTCTCCTGGTTTAACCTTAGGCAGAGATCATGGCCCCTTCTCTTCTGTGTCCCTGATGTCTACCCAGTGTCTGACATAGGAGAGATACTTAACAAATATTTGTAGAATGAATAAATGAATGTTCTTGTTCATCACCCAAGATGCAGGTCCCTCTCGGGGCCCTCAGTCTTTTCCTGCATTCCTAGCCCTTTGATGCTCTGTGCTCGTCCCCCCAACCTAGCCTCCCACTGGCCTTTTCAGATGCTCTCTTGCCCTGGATTGCTTCATGCAATGTGGGCGGTGAGCTCACCATACCGGACCATCTGCAATCAGAGGCAGTGGATACTCTTGTCAGAGTGCCCTGAGGGTAGGGCACTGATTCGTGCCTGGGGTGTGGAAATGTGTGGTTTTCTGTATCGTTACCCATGAAGCAAGGCCCCCAGGATGCCTGAGGTCACAAGGGTAGGGCTTTCTCTACCAGTAGCCCCAAGCCCCAAGTGCTGGGGACTGTGCAAGGGGTTGTAAGCCAACCTGCCAGGACTGGTGAGCGAACCTTGGCCACCCACTCTGTGTGCCATGGCCCCACGTCCCAGAGCTGCTGGTTAGAGGAAGCAGCTGGAGATCCCGGGTGGCCAGGCCTGGGATTGCTGAGTCAGCCTGCAGTTGTGAGTGGGAAGGTCCAGGCATGATCTCCAGCCAGCTGCTTCTACCCATCCAGCCCCCACTGCCCAGGAAAGGATCTGACAAACCACAGAAGTAAATAAATAACTTAGAAATAATAAATAGGGGTCCAGGTCCCAGGAGTGAGTACCAGGCCGCTCCACCATAGGCACTTCAGCAATGCGACTGCAGTGTGTCGCCTCCCATTCTGTCCCCCCAGGCCTGGGCGGAGGCTGAGACCGCACACTCTGCTGGGTTCTCCAGAGGAGTCCTGGCTCCGTGGCCTGCTCAGTGCCAGAGTCTGTGCTGTGCGAAGCGGTCCTAAGGTCTCCGTAGACGAGGTCTCTGGTGTCTGTAGGGCTGGCACTAGCGGGGTGAGGACTGTGGTCCCTCATCCTCCAGGGCTGATGCCCATCACCAGCCCGGCTGAGGCCTCTGGTGTCCATCTCTGGTTGAGGCCCGTGGTCCCTTCCAGGCAGGAAGAGTCACCATGTCAGGGGTGCCATCCCGCAAATCCCTGGAGAGAGCCCTCAGCCCACGCAGTCGCATGCAGTGGCTGAAAAGCCCGGTCCACAGTCCC